AACATTACAAATCTTACTGTTCAAAAACCTTTGACTGGTAGTGTATCATAACGACTCACCTGGACTTCAGAGCCGATCTTGATGGTCTCCTTGAATCCTCCCAGTGCGCAGAGAGCCGCCACGGCCTGTCGGCCAATGGCCTGCAGCTTGGCTAGCCTCCTGCCGCTGCTGTTGCCGCTCTCCAGAATACTCTCAGCGTGTTTTCCCAACTGAGGGATGAACATCAAGGCCCTGGACAACACCTGAGAGAGAGGCACGGAGAAACTCAGAAAACTCAGTCCGTTCTCAATCATCTTCAAGAAACGGCTAAAAACACATCTCTTCCGTCATTATTTGACCCTCTAGCACTCTCTATTCTAATTCTGCTTTATCTATTTGTTTTCTTTTTTTATTTGTGACCCTGGAGCACAAAAGCAGTCTTAAGTCGCTGGGGTATATTTGTAGCAATAGCCAACAATACATTGTATGGGTCAAAATTATTGATTTTTCTTTTATGCCAAAATTCATTAGGATATTAAGTAAAGATCAGGTTCCATGAAGATATTTTTTAAATGTCCTACCGTAAATATATCAAAACTTAATTTTTGATTAGTAATATGCATTGCTAAGAACTTCTTTTGGACAACTTTAAAAGCGATTTTCTCAATATTTAGATTTTTTTGCACCCTCAGATTCCAGATTTTCAAATAGTTGTATCTCGGTCAAATATTGTCCTATCATAACAAACCATACATCAATGTAAAGCTTATTTATTCAGCTTTCAGATGATGTATACATCTCAATTTTGAAAAATTGACACTTATGACTGGTTTTGTGCTCCAGGGTCACACATACATATATAAAAAACAACAAAAAAGACTTGTCATAGCACTTGGATTTTATTGTTCTTTTGTTGGTTTTGATTGCTTCTATTGTTCTCATCAAGTCGCTTTGGATAAAAGCATCTGCTAAATCACTGCATGTAAATGTAAAACACAAACTACACAGAAAGATTTCAGCAACGTCTGTTTCTCTGAGCACTCAGTGAAGTATTTTTATTTGATGAAAGAGCGCAGCTCACCTTTTCTGCGGTGCTGGTCCATATTTGAGCCGTGTTGGACTCAGGCGCGGTCAGGAGACTGTGCAGCAGAGCGATGACCTCCGCAGCCATGCTGTTCGCCACGTGACCGCTGATGAAGGGACGCACCGGATCCGAGCTGTGTGTCAAATCACAGGCTTTCAGGCATTTCTCCTTCTACAAATACCTTGGACTCAGCAGCTGAGACCACTCGGGAAGCGTTAAATACTGTAGCATTTTATTTTATGAAAATAAGATCAAGAAGCTCACATCATGCAAAGGTGTGACATAAAATGATAGCCCATATGTTAACACTGTGCTACACAATAGTTAACACGATATCAGAACGGCACGTTTCACTGAAAGGCAATGAGTTTGCAGCACATAAAACTGGAAGACCTTCTGAAGATGCTTACCGAGCCAGCTCAGCGTTCCTCTCTCTGCACACTGTGGACTGGGCGGTTTTCTTCTTGTCACCTGTGGTGGATATCCCAGCATTCTCCTGGCCTGTGCTCTCTATCGGAGGACCCACACTAACAATAAGCCCAGACTGAGCCCACTTATTGGCTTTCCGCAGAGCAGACGAAGCCTCCTCCGTGATCACCTCACAGCAGCCGCTCTGCAGAACACAGACCAACAGCATCTCACTCATCCAGATAAAAAAAATAAAAATGATATCTCGATATTTTCTGGGATTTTATCGATAATTATATTTATCTGAGTGTGTTATTGTGCTGGTATCTTAAGGACTTTCGTGGACAGCTGACTCCTAATGTTTTTGATATTCTTCATGTTCTGTGTGCATGGTGGTCTGATAGAAATTAATATTTTACAATAAGTTTAAATTGAGTTTTACCTTTTAATGGGCATTTTTACCTTTAAAAAGCCATTTTTCTAAAAGTGTGCATTATCCTTATAATAAGACATTACTGTTTAGTGCAGAACTTTAACCTGCAATTACAAATGCATAAATAATGTTTTGATATATTAAACATAAAACGTTGAATACTGTTTTTTTTTTTAAATAGTCGAAATGTGAAATTAAAACCACCAGTAGGTGGCAGCAAGTCACTGTTAATAAGTGAGTCATTGCGATTGAACCGAATCATTTAAACGAGTGATTCATTCAGGAACGAAACACCGTCAAGTTGCTCAGAGACGCTAAACAGTGCTGTGGCTGTGTCTGGAGTTATTTTTGTTGTCGAAATAGCGCAAAAACAGCCAATATGGCGTCTAAAACGTAAGTCTCTTAATTAACTTCTTGTTTTTTTTAACTGTTGTAAAAAAATCAATATTACATTTGTAATCATGGTGATTTTTGGAGAAAAAACGGCACTCTTTGTGTGATATTGATTAGCTATATGAAATTATATATATATATACATTGTCTGCCCCCATATCTTGAATTTTGTGATCATTGTAAATGCCTTTTATTGGACTGAATCATGCCGTGAAAGAATGCACTATAAATGCACACACGCTAGTCTAGACTTCACGTAATGCACTGCACTCTGTAGATGTGTTTTGAATGCGTTTTGCAAAATACCCGATAATAGGGATGCACCGAAATGAAAATTCTTTGCCGAAGCTGAAACCGAACAAAATGAAACACTGGGCTGAAGGTCGAATACCGAACACGGTTTTTCAAGTTTATTCCCCCATGTATTTTGACAATTTTTTTCACCATTGCATAAATTAAATAGCCAAAATGTACTTTTTACTGTTTTGTCTTGTTTTTCAAAGAAAAAATCAATTACAAAACAATTAAAAAATATTTAACACTAAACCTTTTTTAACATTCTAGCAGACATTATACCAACAAAGCATAATTTAACTTAAAATGAATAAGTTAGTAAAATAATATTTTTGGCGATCAGACCCCCTTCTTGAATCAGGCATGTATTTTTACGGTAAAATTAAAAGCAGCCTTGCTGAGCGAGACTTCTTTTAAAACATTAGAAAATATTACAGATCCCAATTTGAACACTATGTGTGTATGTTATAATAAATGTATTAACAGAGCTGGTGTAATTATTATTATCATTATTATTGTCTTACTTTTTATTTTTTCAGAACAACAGTAAAATTACAATACTAACATTTATGAATGTTGATGGAGTTCTTGCTTTTTCTCAACTTTTGTTTTGGCGGAAATGCGCAGGAAAACCTCAATGCTTCTTTTTGTTGACAACAGATTTATAAATGAGTCTCATTATGAAT